AAACTTTTCCAAAATAATTTTCACATATCAATTTTGTCTGGTCAGTTCCTCCAAAGTTTCTTATAAGTGCTAGTTCTGATGATTGCACCAATTTGTGAACATTATATGTATTACTGTATTAGTACTGTGATGTTTGTATTATAACCGGAAATGAATAAATAAAATAAAAGATCTCACTTGTCGGCTCGGAGTCACTCAGACTTTTCGCCAATGCATAATAATCGCGAAGTCCTAGTCAATAACCAAATCAAATTTTGGATTTTTATTTATTTTCTGACACATTATATAAAATAACAAACTTACCATGAAAGTTTTTATATTTTTGATTTTTTTCATAATCATGGTAGGCATCAGCAAGTTGTCTAAGTATAGGATTAGCGATTCCATTTTTAGTTTTGTCGCCTAAAAGCATGGATGCTGTTAAAGTTAAATCATTACAGCTGAATTTTGGTCGTTGCACAAGCAACGCTCTGCTCGATTTGCTATTGTCTAGACGCCAGTTGCTAATGCCAACAACTGATACTGCTGGGCCATCTTTAAAATCTGCATTATTAACTGACATAGACGGACCAATTTTACTAGTAGTTGATACTGATGAATCTTCTGTAGGATCTTTTAGGCCAGAAACCGCAGGTTCTTGTGTAGCACCTGATATTTTTGAACTTTCGATAGAGTCATCTTTAGAGAAACCGGGTTCTAAGAGGGCGTGAAGAACTTTTAAGGGAATAAATCGACTAGTTTCTGCTAGGCCGACTTCATCAAGAAAGACAACGGCTTGTAAAGGAAATGCTTCTGGACTTGTTTTTTGATAAGTTTCTGCTTTATCGAAAACCTTTAGGATGCCAGCTGAAGTTAATGAAGCTGAACCTTGATGTGGTATGAAATACATCTTATAACATATTGTCATTTTTTTTTGTTAGAACTATATAATTGCGAATTTTAAAAACAATATATAAATTACCTGTGGTAATGTCTTAAAATATTCATCATCTGAATCGGCTCCTCGAAGATTTGAGCTAATAAGTCGTACTGCCAGTGACTCTGAACTGTCGTATGCAATGTTATAAATATTTTAAATAATTTAGTTTTAAATAATTTAAATTTAAACATATGATTTAAAATCATAAAGATATTTCTAACCTGCCGGTGCACCAATAATAAAAATAGGTATCCGATTCAAATATGCAAACAATCATCACAAGAATGTTCTCTAAAAGAGCATCATTATCTGCTGTAGATGGAGGGCAAACCATTCGATTCATAAAATCTTTTTGTTCTCTGCGAATTATCTTTTGAAATTCTGTAGCATCACGTCTTTGCCTGTAATTCCTAAAAACTTGTGCCATGCACTCTCAATATCTTTCTCGCAAATCTTTGATCATGTAAACGTGATTGATAACAAAGCCCAAGTGATAGGACAAAACTATTACGTATCAAAGTTTTTTCATCTTTAGGAGGATAGTTCCAATATTGCGTGATAAATGAGATGCTATGAGCTGCTGGTGGACGTTCTTTCATACTTTTTTGAAACCATAAAGCCAACTTTATTGCTCTTTTACATCGCACAAGCTGACTTTATATGATTCTTCAACCATACAAATGAATTTCAAAGCAAATCCACAAATATCGGGTGTGACTTTCCACCATGATTTTGACGTAGGCCTGATAGAAATATAAAAATTACTTTTCAATTAAAATGTTACTGTTTTGACATTTAACCCTTTATTTTGAGAGAACTTGCATACCTTTCTTCTTCAGGTTTGAGGACACCATAATCCCATACATAATCCAAAATTTGATCAGGTAGAGGGTGTACTTGATAGACTAATTTACTTTTGCGTAGCCGATATGGGTTACATGCAGCAAATAGGCGAATTTTATAATGTTTCAACCTGCCTGATAATGTTCATGGGCTATAAGATCGGAATAAGTCTAATATGATTGCAAGTATTAATTTCATCAAAGAATAACCATATTTGACCATTATTTGCATGTTTGGTACTTGTTTTCA